TTCAAAATAATGAAACTATGCCAATGAATCTTCAAGAAATTTGGTATTGTCACGTGTTTTAATGACTTGTAGGCGGGATTTGGATTGTCGAATAGAGTTATTGGTTACTCACATGTTGTAGGGGCGCGTAGCGTAGTGGTTGAGGTGCTACGCTACAAGCCGGAAGGTCGCGGGTTCAAATCCCGATGAGGTCATTGGATTTTTTTCAGTTGACTTAATCCTTCCGACAGCACTATGGCCCTGGAGTTCACTCAGCCTCTAACAGAAATGAGTACCAGGAATTAAATAAATAAATTTCCTGGTGAGTAAAGCGCGGCCGGCGCGTAAGGCTGACAACCTTACCGCCATCTTGGAGTCGATTGTCTAGATAATGTGGGACCCTCAACATCTGTCAACCCTATGGGCCTTCACGGCCTGGTACAGGGATAGCTTTACCTTTTTTACTTTACTTTTACTCACATGTTGTAACTACAATTAATTACAACACTCTAAAGGTTACTGTAACTATAACACATAAAACCAAGTCTTCAACTTGTACTTGCATGGTCCTTGCTTGGTAACAGTTCAGCTATTGAACTGTGATGTCTATCGAATGAATCTTGAACCTCTCGAATTCTGCCTGGCTGTCTAGATCTCGGACCGAGCTGACTCCGTGCAGACCGAATATAAATCACTATGTCTTATAGTCCCTCTGGTATTCTGTGATTATTCGTTGCAACGGAAACGTACGTACCAAACCGTTGTCCAGCAACGGTTAATTCCGCGTTGCCCCGGGAATATGCTTAGCGTTGCCTATCAGGTGGTTATATTCCGGCTTTCAGGCGTCATGTCACAATATGAAGGCGTATACAGGATTCTTCTGGCTTAGTATGGGACCAGTGGCGGGCTGTTTTGAACCAAATGGTGAGTTCAGTAAAATACGGAGAATTTCTTGAGTGGGTGTATAATTAATTATTAGGGCATATTAGCTTCTCAAGCAAGTCTCTCTTCAGTGGGGCTAGTTAGTAAATATAAGTTGGTTAATAATCGTACTGTAGCATTAACTGAGCGTTTTGCTTAAAAATCTGTATGGATGCCATAGGTCTGGAAGTCGCCCCGTTTGACACGCACAATTCCCATACGTAAATTATATAAACATGGCGGATATGAGAATTTGTTGATGTGGCAATAACAGTAGGGCCGTCAGTGCAAGTCTTGAAAGTTCATATTGTTTCAAATTTTAATGAAAAATTATGCAGTTTTCATTACGACAGACACACTTGTTGGAAAATAGGAAAAAAAATTAAAATTGGAACATGGCGACGAAGCAAAATTTATTAGCGTGTTGATGACAAATGACGAATCATTTTAACCTGTCATGAGAAATTTGGTCACATGTTAAAATCATATGTTAATTTTGATAGCATATTTAAATTGCCACTACGATGACAGTGAAGATTATTTGGTCCTATCTGCCAAAGTACATACGTCACGTCTGAGAAAACACGTCATCACATCTGATTTGAGGTTCTGATATCGATGCTATGAAGAATTCTATCTTCTAGGATATAACACAGTGTAGTTAGATGAAATGAAATTACGTCAATGCTTATTCATGCTGCTTTCTTGTTTGACTAAATTTTTCGACCCTGAGGAAGGAGGCAATATATTTCTCCGAAACATCAGTTGACATTCAGTGGATTACACGAATATTAATCTGCTGATTACTCTACTGTCTTATTTTTAAACTTATAAATTCATGGTGACAAGAGCGATTATGAAAACGTGAATCCGGCGACAAGTTGGGAGTTAAGTGGCTTTTCGCCATTGTGCTGATACGGAGACCGGAGGGCGATGACGCTCCTTGCTGCCTATCTTGAGACAGAGTGACCGGTCGGCCATCCTACTAAGTGGTGATGAACACTAAGAAGCAGAACCGCTGTGAGGTCAACGCTAAAAATACAACAGGCAACTACCAGGCACTCTTCTTTTTGTGTTATAAATCAACTTACCAAATTCACCGATGCTTTGCATTGTTTCAAACTAAGCTGCTCAGTTCTACGATGCTATAAGCCCACTTTTTGGAAATTGTGTTTTCAGTATAGATTTCGAGTTTATTTAAATGTATTTTACTGTACAAAGACGAAACAACTCCGTTCCGTGTGACTATTTAAGTTTTACTACTTTAAAACTTAGCACCCTTAAATGAAACAAATAAAAAAATGTATTTTTCTTTGTATGAATTATGTTACATTATTGTGGCATAAATTAAAATTACAAATTTATTTCGTTGACTGAGACATGTACGTTGTCCCAGCACTGGATTCATATGACAATGTTTGGATGTGATTATTATTTTTCAGAATTATTTAATTTGTTTTAAAAAGAATAATGTTTTTGGAATTTAAAGCCGTGTATTTCGATAGAATTTTACAGACGTTTTGGAGAATGTACTGCCTTCAAGTTCAGAGCCAATGAATAAGAGAAGTAAGCAAAAAGTAGTAAACCTACTTGCTTAATAAATTCCCCGATTCTGAAGACGTTGGCAGTATGTTCCTTCGAAAGTTGAAAAAAATATCTACCACTACCGCAGTCGAAATACTCTTCATAGTAGGCGCCGTGATAACTTCGGACCTAAAGACGTTGTTAGTAATTTTGGCTATGAGAAAATATTTTGTCCAAATTATTCTGATTGTAAATCTTGTTTGCAATAATTATTTTGAGTAAATTTTGCTAGAGTTACACAATTATATTTTCGTTTATTTTGGGATTGTATATGATTCTTAGCCGGTCACGGTAGCCGAGTGGTCTAAGGCATGCACTGTCTTCGCTCGCTCGGAAGCCGGGATCGTGGGTTCGAATCCCACTCAGGGCATGGATGTTTCTGTGCGTTTTTCTGTGTTTGTCTACAGGTAGAGGCCTTGCGACGAGCTGATCACTCGCCCAAGGAGTCCTACCGAATGTGTAAGATCTAGAAAAACCGAAGTGGAGTTAATGGAGGTAGGCCTAGGCCCACTGGAGCTCTAGTGCCAAGAAAAAGAAATATGATTCTTAAGCTCTTTTATCTTTATTCGTCCCTGTTCTTAATTATTTAAGCATCACGCGATGTCGGAGAGGAGATATAGCTCCTCCATACTTTACCTCAATACGAGATGGATGTAAATGGCCATCTTCACGCCCCTACCGCTTTACCTCAGGGGGTGGGGGAAATAGCCCACAGTACCTATTATATATGGGGTTTGGTGGGCCCCAGAGCTGGTCTAGACGCTGTGGAAGAAATACAAATTTCTTACCTCTACCGAGGATCGAAATCTGACCGTCCAGCCCATATCCCGTCGCTACACCCAATGACTTATTTTATCTTTTGTAGACAACAAAAATATTATAAATATTTTGAAATGGAGGTAATGACCCGTAAACATCATGGCAGTATTTTTTGGTACCGGAAAATTAGTGAAGTTGTTTATTTCAGTATTCAGATGTTCTCGAGTAACCCGTACGTTGCGTCATAATTTAAGATGCATCCGCCGTGACGATTTATGAAGCGTGTGATAATTATCACAATTGAGGGGAACCGGAATTTATGATGTCGCTGCCTCTCGTATGATCTCATTCATTGCTGTTGGAGCATTGTTTATGTGGTTTCCTGGATGTGGCCTTCAGGTTGACACGGCCGCATTTCTATTTAAATCCCGAGTCTGTTGTCACCGTAACAGATTTCAGACGGATGCTGGATCTTTCAAGAAACGAAGACGTCACACTGACGTCAGTCACGTACACCAATTCTAGACTGAGCGGCTGTCCACTCCTCTGCATTAGAGAAAAAATGTCCGTTGGTTTAGGACAAATTCCATGTTTGGGCGCGTATATATCATCAGTTACGTCATAAGGAAACACAGCAAAATTAAACCGCTGTTTTGATTATTACAGATGGAGGAAACTTTCAGCAACGTGCGACAGAAAAATGTTGAGTATGGTGACTAGGCACTTTCGTAAAATCGCTTCTTTAAAAACGGCGTAATATTTTACATGAAAGTGAAATTTATGAAGAAAAAGGAAATTGCTAAATTTCAGAACGAAATACTGAAGGAGGTTTCAGGTCTGTGTGAGATAGAATTATAAAAGACGAGAGTAATTTTTATAAAGAAATGTTACACAATTTGTACTCTTCCCCTATTATTATACTAATTAACTCTCTGGTAGTGGAAGCCGATGTCTTATTATCACTGATTCAAAAACCTTCATTTAGGCTTGATACCAAACCAGTTTCATCCAAATCTGATCTTCACAACTTTAATTTCTCTCTCTCTCTCTCCTCTTGCTCTCACTTTGGAGCATAGGACTGATTTCTCAGTTTCCTGATCATTTTACAGACGGTAGGACCCCTTTGACGGGTGATCAGCTCGTCGCAAGGCCTCCACCTAAACTCAGGACAACACAAAGACAGAATAAACGCGTACACACACCACACATACATGCTTTTTATGGGAACAACGATCCCGGCTACCGAGCGAGCGAAGACAGTGCAGGCCTTAGACCGCTCGGATGTCATGACCGGCTACAACTTCTATTATTAAGATTAAACTTAATGTTATTCCCAAATATTTATTTAACATAATAAAAAATTGAAAACGGCCTACCTGTTCAAGGTTGTAATATTATTTTTTTTTCTATAGAGAATAAGCAAAAGAAATATTTTATAGGGAATGAAAAAGAATGAGTCGCCGTATGGACGTATGGAGTTTGCCCCAACATCACTGGATACAAACTGGGTAGAATGAAAAAGGAGACGAAAATTTATAAAGCGAGAAAATGAAATTGAAAGAAGTAATTTTAATTATTAACAATAACGAAAATTATATATAGAGAACCTACGATAATAGAAAACTTCCAAAATATTTAGAATCGTGATAGAGACAAAGGACTGTTGAAAATAACAAAAATAATAACAATAATATTTCAGTGTTTTATTAGAATTAATAAGATAAATATGTCATGCTAGAAGAGGAAACCGAGCAAGATTTAGAAAAACAAAATAGATAAATTAATGTTTTCTTCGTGATTTTATTTAAAATGAATATGAGTTTAACTTCCATACAGATGTGTAATTACTTACGGTCTTATCTGTACACTGAGTTGCCATAAGCAAACTCACTTCTAGGCCCATATGCACCCAGGTTTCTCAAAATAATTGAAAGAATACACTTCTAGTGTACTTTTAGTTTCTTTACATTAGAATTCAACATACACTTTCATTTTGAAAAGTTTTTTCAGATCGATAACTAAATAAACACAATATATTCCTAATAATTAAATCTCACAATCTTATGTTCAGTTACATATATTCACTCACTCTTCAGAATCATAAATTTGTCTAATTCGCAGAGTTCGTGTCTTTCTTAGTCGACGAAAATTTGGTACTAAGTGATATTAAATTAATGAAATTAATAATAAACTAGCATAATGCAGAATATTTCTCACTCAAACACAACATATGAGATGACTAGTCTAAACGCTGCAACATCCCAAGTTTCTTTTTGTGTGTCACTTTTCACTTCGTGCACGAAATTAAATTGTGTACTTGATGTTCTCGTAGAACGTGTGTGCGGTGTTTGCTGCTGGCGGCGAGGGCAGGCTGGTTGGTATGGACGGTGGTGGTGGGGTCATGTAGGGCTTGCGATCACATTGCACCGGTTGCATGGGGGCTGCCCGAATACCTGTAACACAGCAAGAAATGGCACAGTGAAATAGACGATAGACGCACTGCATAAAATTCTCATTGAATTCAGTACACCCAGGAAACCAACTTCATGGAGCGGTCCTTCAGAAGCTCGGATACTCAAGAAATTACTAGACTTTAATGAAACTCGAAGCTCACTATAGTAGCACTTTGCTATCAGTGTTTCATCTGCGACAAATGAATCCATTCCACCTTCTCTTACCCTATTTATTTAAGATCCATTTTAATATTATCAACCTCGAGGACTACCGTCTTATCATCAAGAGGAGGTTTGTGCGCCCCAACAGTTCGGAGAGCTATGCTGGCGGGAACAAAAGCTCCTGGTAGAGCCACCCATGCCAGACAAGTCACGGTGTAGGGGCCGGAAGAAATATAGTCCCTGGTTCATCAGGTTGGATTTGGATGTGGGGCTGAAGACCGCACCCTGGAAAAATTTACTGTTTCGAAAACGTGGAGGGAGCCAAGACCCACACAGGGTTTTAGCTCCGGCAAAGAATAAGATTTTACTATTAACCTCCGATCTACACCTACATATTCAAAGTTACATCTTCTCCTTATGTTGTTCGATCAAAATTTTGTATGTATTTTTCATTTCGCTCTTGTGTCATACTCTCGGCCCTTCTCATCATTCTCGGTCTTATCACATCAATACGTACGTGTGTAGACCCAAGAAACTAGTTAAGATAATAAACAGAATTTCGCCCATACACATCACTTTTGAAGGGAGTACACTTTTTCTTGACGACACCGAGGTTTCATTTCGCCGACATTTGGGCACACGTCACATGTTCGTGACGCCTTGATATGCATTTGTTCCTCAGACAAGAAATATATAATTATGCCCATATTTCTCTTCAGTTCCTTATTCAAAACTAGCATAAAGACCGTTGAGATTTCAACAAGGAATTGTTTAAAAACAAACTTAGTACGTAACTAACCTCAGTTACGTGAAAGACAGCTAAAATTATACTAAGATACTAAAACTTGATAAAATAAAAATATGCTACTTCTGTGTAGATGAAATCGTTTCGTTGAAGGTTGTTTATAAAACAAATGAATTCCTTCAATATTATCTAACTTCTCTTTGTGTTCAACAGGCAAAACGCCGTCACAACTGCCAGTGATAAGTACATCATTGGCCAACACACATTTTTTTCTGTTAAAATTTGACCAAATAGCTGGTAGGGAGGGTGTGAAGCCGGAGAAGAAGAAGAAATAGGAGAGGAAGAAGAATAATAAGAAGAAGAAAAATGAGGAGAGGAAGAAGAAGGAGGAGGATAATGAGAAGGAGAAGAAGAAGAAGATAAGTGGTAGTTTAGTGATTTAGCTTTCAGATGCGAATACTGAAAGTAAAATGTACGGTAAAGCTATCCCTGTAACAGGCCGTGGAGGTCCATAAGGTTGTGAAATGTTGAGGGTCCCACATTTTCTAGACAATATGCTCAAAGATGGCGGTAAGGTAGTCTGCCTTACGCGCCGCCGGCCGCGCTTTACTCCCCAGGAAAATTATTTAATTAATTCCTGGTTCTCATTTCTGTTAGAGGCTGAGTCGACCCCAGGGCCATAGAGCGGCTGGAAGGATGAGGTCAACTGAAAAATCCAGTGACCTCATCGGAATCGAACCCGCGAACGTGCGACCCGTAGGATAATGCCTCAACCAACTACACTACCGCGTGCACCTTTAATACTGAAAGACAATCTTCATTTTCACCAATAGCCATTGTTTCCATGTTACCACCATACATTTAGCTTTCCTTCGGGGTCGCGCCATAGCTCAAGCGGTTTGTCGCTGGCTTCCCAACGCGGCGGCACGGGTTAGATCCCGGGTCTGGTCAAGTGGGATTTGTGGTGAATAAAGTGGCGCTGGGGTAGGTTTTCTCGGTTCCCCTGCCAATCTTCATTCCACCAAATTCTCCATCATTATAATCACCCGGGGAAGGCTGCAATAGGCTAATCAGTGGCCACCGTGCCGAGTGGACCCAGTTGGACTCCACCCCCCACTAAGCGAATTAAAAAACTCATATGCTACAAAGACTTACGCATTAGTTTTGTACGAAATTCCTGTAGGCCTCTGTGAAGCTGCATGAACCGATTCGAAAGAAACTGAGGTCCTGTGTTTGCAGTATCTCGGTGAGGAAGGCTGTTTACAGCTCGACTTGACTTCATTCGTTTAGTGTGATTAGAAATATTAATATTAATATTAATCAAGATTTTAGATGATTGTTAAATGTATTGTAAAAATAATTATTGCAGAATAGGGACCAACAGCAAAATGTAATGGTGGAGTTAACAAACATTAATTACAATGAAAATGTGACTATTGATTTAAGTGGCCATGGAAGAGGTGTATATCGGAGACAGTTGTATTCCTCTGTGGGCCCCCCTTTTTTAGACTTTTTTTTTATTGCTAGTGGGGTGGGACTAAGTCCCTTGTACTGCGGCCACTTCTGGCCTATTGTACCAGCCCCAGATGATAGGTGAGGGTGATTGTGGAGCAATTGGTGGAATCAAGATTGGCAGGGGAAACCGAAGTACTCGGAGAAAACCTGCTCCAGCGCCACTTTGTCCACCACAAATCCCACTTGACCAGAACTGGGATCGAACCCGGGCCGCCGCGGTGGGAAGCCAGCGACTAACTACTTGAATTATACCACGGCCCCCTCTTAGACTTAATTTTGATCGGGTTCGTTAACAAGCAGGAGATTCAATGTTTTGTAACAACGAAGAAAACAAACAAAAAGGTGAGTTTTGTTCTTTGTGTGAAAGGCTTGAATTCGGACTTCCCTTGTTCGTATGCAATTTAGGGACTTCTATCTGTCTGTCTATTTATGGCTCTACAGCCCTTTCTTGAGCCTTAACCTCTATTCAGGTTCTTAAATCTTATACACAGTCGGTAGGACTCCTTGAACGGGGGATCAGCACGACTATGCCTATACACAGAACAACACAAACAGAATAAACGCACAGACATCCATGCTTCGAGTGGGATTCGAACCCACGGCCCCAGTGTTCGAGCGGGCGAAGACTGTTCATGCTTTAGACAGCGCGGCTACTGTGAGGGCATTTGAGGAACATAATGATCCTCTTTATCCACTAATGCCGGGATATTTAAAATAACTAAATCTTGTACGTTAACTCAAGCGGTACATTTCTGACTTGTATTCGGGAATTTACTCCTTCAGATCTCGGTCGCGATATTGGCTATCCTGAATAAGATACTTCTTTCTTAAGTCCATTCAAACAAATTCCGGAATAGTACCTCGCGCTTCCTTCCACATCATTACATTTTATTGCTAATTAAATGATCCTGTCATTAGTCATTAAGTGGCGTTGAGTTGCAGACAACCTTGTCAATAGCCACAAAATTCTTCGGGAACACGTAGATCATTACAATAGTATTGTAGCATGTAGAGCCGCTACTAGGCAACGGCTCGGTAAACACGTTCCCGCTGCAACGGATACGTATATGACAATAGAAGTAATATCGGAAACGGTGTTTTCTACTCGGTCCGTACAAAGGAGTTATAAGGAATCAAGAGTAGTTCAGTTGGAAAGGAACCGCCGTTCAGAGAGGTTTGAACCTGAAAGCAGAGGACTACACATTGTTAGAAACCGTTACTGAATATTACTAGTGAAGACACTGGGGGCTGAAAAGGCTTAGCGTGATTTGGTAAAGCGATGGCGCTATAATTGAGTGTAATTACGAGTGGTGTGTTATAGTGGGTCAATAAATCCAATCTCCAATCTAAAACCCCGTATATATACACTCCGAATTGTGACAGCATATTCACTGTGATATACTATGAACGTTTCAGCCGGTTAAACACTTTCGTTTTATTTCCAAGTGCCCTTAATATGTAAGTGGTCTATTACCAGCTCATCCTTACTTTGTTAATTGACGAAATTTAAAAGGGTGACAACACGATGGAGCGTAATTGGAACACCAACTCTGTGTAGGAGTAGCAAGATGTAAACAGTAACGCCTTTTGCTTCCTTTCGTTAGGGAACCCTTAGACTCACATCCTTGGCAATTTTTCTGCAACCTCTTCATTTGAATATCGTGTCAGTGCCTACAAAGAGGCCACGGCCGAATCTTCCCAAATATTTGTCCATTAACACTTCATAAACCAAATCAAGCTATATAAAATCTGCAAATGGCAGAGTGTCGTTAAATAATGAACCTATTAATCAGTTTTCTTCAAATTGTGTGTCTTGTTTCCGAAGCAAATTCATCTTCCATCCTCATAAAACTGGAGTCATTACTTGACAACTTTCATCAAGCTCTGCCGAACTGTGGGCACGCTGCCTGCTTCTGGCCCCGAGGTCTGAACTTGATTTCACCGACGGACATATGGGTAAAAAGATCGCAGGTTAATGAAAGACGCTGTATCAACTGTATCAGTTATTTAAGATTGAATAATATGGAAGGTGATTATGTTCGGCGAGCTTACAAGCGGTCCTGAACATATTTCAAGGTATATCACTGATTGGCATGGAGGGTCTAGAGAAAACTACGAGAACATCAAGATAATCGTTTTCCCTGCCGAGATTCCAGCCGGAACCTCCAGGATGTAACTCAGAAATATTACCGTTTGGGCTAGCTTTATCGGTGGTGTCTGTATGTGTGCAGTCACTAAATTTGAATGCATCGGTAAGTCATCCGGTCGATGTGCGCTCTTGAGATGTCCCTACGAACTGCGTTGGATTTTAAGTTCTCCCAGCGATTACGAAAAAGTATTCTGTCTTGTGGTATATAACGCTTATATATTTTGCTGCCTGCTTCACTCTGGTTTCTTTCCTGGTTTAATCCTCGAAACTGAAGATGGAGGCTGTGTTGCACCCCAGGTGAGTACTCCAAGACTCATCCTGTCTCCTACAGTACGTTACGTATATATCCTCTCTACCTACAGTTGAACTTACGAATATACAACGCTTTATTGTAATGCACCTTTACACGTCACAGTGACACAGTTTTTG